GAGGAGCGGGGGCCTTATTCCCGGGAGTTCTTGGAGGGGTATTTTCCCAAGCGGGTCTTCCGTTGGTGGGATTGCCCGGGGGGGGGGGGGGTGGGGGAGACAGTCTGTGAAAAGCGCGTGCCGCTTGGAATGGATGCAGGGGACAAAAGAAGTTACCTAGAAAGCGATATGTAATGATACCATGATTTTTTTCTTTGAAAGAGTTCGACCCGTCACTACTCTATCCAAATTGATGCTCGTAAAATGCAGTGACAATACATACCCTACCTAGGCAAGCATGTACCTCAGTTGCGAACAGCGAAAACCCTCGAGTAAATAGCGAAACCCTCGAGTAAATAGCGCAGGCAGCTTGCAAAGGCATCGCCCACTGGCCATCCTATAAACACAATAAAGAATCTCTATCAAACATAATCCCCCCCCCCTTCACCCGATCCTCGGCGTGCCCGCCTTGTGATACTCCCCCTCCGTCGTGACAGTCGCAACGCTCTCCCGCCTCTCCTTGTCCCCGCTGCGGCTCGCCATGCCCTCGATGCCGAGCCCCACCTCGCCCACGCGCCGCAGCACGAGGAGCAGCGCCGCCCGGAGCTCCGATGAGAGGTTCTTGCCCAGCAGCTCGACGACCATGGGGTAAAACTCCTTGACGTGGCCCTCGAACGCCTCCTCCGGGAACGCCGCGTACCCTTCGAGCACGTCCACGACGACCGGCCGCCACGCCAAGATGTTCCTGTGCTGGCTCTCCTCCTCGAGCGCGACGAAGTCCCCGATGATGTCCTTGCAGAGCGGGCACGAGCGCCTTCTCAATGTCCGGCCGCGCGCGCCCGCCCGCTCGGCGCTGTTGTCGGCGTACATGCGGAACAGGATGGCCCACGTACGTCGCCGCCGCGCCCGACTCCTGCTTCAGCAGGTTCGGCGCCTGCTTCATGAACCCTTCGCGCCAGAGGCGCATGCGCAGCTCCTTGTCGGCGTTGAACCGACGCGCGAACAGGTACGACCGCTTGAGGAGCGCCATGAGGGTCAGGAGCTCCGTCGTCGGGATCTGCGCATACACAGTGTCGTTGCTGAACAGCTCGTTGACCGTCTCGATCATGAGCAGCTGGAGCACGCAGCGGGAGATGATCTGGTTGAAGTAGCGCCGGCGCGCGGCCGTCACGACGACGGGCTGCTGCTGCAAGTTGGACGCCGGCTTGTAGTCCTCGAGGGGAGCCTGGGGCAGGTTTGTCGCAGTAGGCGTCTTCAGATCGTCCTCATCGGCGCCCTCCTCGGTAGACTCGGTGGCAGGTGCGTCGGCGTCGGTACCGTTCTTGTTATGGCCGTTAATCTCGAGCGACTTTTCGTTGATTGGCTCCTCCGGGTCGACGACCAGCGGCCCGGTAAAGTCCAGGCCATTGGTGGGCAGCTCGAGCGACGCCGATGAGTTGACGGTTGTCGGCGAGAAGAGTTGCGTGGCCGTTGTCGCAGCAAACAGCTTGCAGAATGACCCCACAATCTCAGTCCAGTGTCCGGCCGTGAACTTCTTGACGTTCTTCAGGATCAGTTGCTGCAGGCAGTTGCTGCCGATGCGCGAGATGGTGTCGTTCTCCTGGAAGATGCACAGAGCGAGCAGCTCGAGGAACCGGTCGAGCATGCACTCCAGAGCTTCGAAGTAGTGCGTGAACAGCGTGATCATGTTGCGCAACGCCTGGATCATCGTCGTCGACAACCAAACGGAAAGTTCCTCATGGTTGAGCGCACTGTTGAGATCGGGTCTTGAGCGGAGAACCATGAAGATCGGGTTCAGTTGCTGGCGCCAAAGTATGTCCCAGAACTCGGGCGGGAACTCGCCGCCGTACTTCAGCAGCGCCTCAAAGAAGTACTCCAGCGCATTGGATCGCACCTCGAGGTCCTCGCCCGTCATGAGGACATCGTGAAAGGCGAACAGCACGGGGAACCAATAGCCCTCCTCGACTGACGTCTTCGTCTGCGAACGCTGCAGAGCATCCTGGGCTTTCGGGTTCTCGGCCGGCGGCGCGTATCCGTTCTTGTGTGACAAGGGGCACTCTGGCGTCTTGAGCATGCGCGGCATGATCGACTTCAGTGCTTCGAGGGCCTGCAGGCTCTTCTTCTGGTACTTCATGTTCTTGGAGAACTCCGTCAAGCAGACAATCAAATCAGTGAACGCGCCCTGCGATATGACAACGCCAAACTTGGTCTTGTAAACCTGGCTGACGTTCTCGTACGCCAAGTTGACAATGGCCTCGTGCTGCTCGCGCGCGGCCACGGTGAAGACGCCAAACATGGTCCGCCAGCCGGACCGGATGTTGTCGCCGCGGGCCTGGATCATCTGGATCAAGCACCGCAGGACCATATCCTTGACTGTGATGTTCTGGGCGTTCGACAGGATGTGGCTCGAAAGGCTTGAGAAAGTCCTTCTGGAACTTGAAACCGGGCAGCTCCTCAATCTCGAGAAAGTTCATCGACAGCTGACGCAGCGAGTCGAGGGCGAAGAAGACAATGTTCGTGTTGTTGTGGCAGCCGACGCGGTTGAAGTGTTCGCCCATGACCTCCCAAATGTTCGTCCACTCAAAACGAACACGAGACATGTTGTAATAGGCAATCTCGACAATCTTCTGCAAGCTGTAGGTCCTCGGCGAATCGTTGGAGCCAGAAACGCGAATCTCATCCCAGCTGACCTCGGTCAACGCGCGCGTAAAGTGGACAATGGCCTCGCCGTTCAGGCTGGCCGTGTTCGCGAAGATGCGGTCGACAGCCTTGACGACCGCGTCCGACCGCGCCTCCTGCGCGACCTCGATGGAGAATCCCTGCGGACCGGTGCCGGCGCGCGGGCGACCAGGACGCCGCCCGTGGGTCGATTTGCGCGAATCGTTTGCGCCTTGTCGTTCGAATCGCGCATTCGCCACATCCGGGATGGCATTTTCGTCGACGCCGCCAGAAATAAGCTGCAGTCGGTCCAGCTGACTGATGCAGAGCAGGACGTCCTTCCACGATGACCGTAGAAGATCACCCTCGGTCTGACCGAGCTCGAGGATGACCTTCAGAGCCTCAATGTTCTTGGCATGCATCTCCTGTGGGTTGTTGATGTTGGTGATATTCCTCAGAGCCGAGACAAAAGCCTCACGAGGCGTAGAGAGTTCGAAAGAGCAGGCAATCTTGGTAGCCAGCTTCATGCCCTCAAGGCACAGCTTGTTGACCTCAATGTTTTGCGCCTTCTGCATCTGGTTGGACAGAGCCGAGAAGTAGGACATCCAGGTCACGTCGAACATGGGACCGATGTGCTGGAAGGATGTCGCGGGCATGAACTTGACGCCAGCACGCTGGGCATTGCGGCGCTGCGTCTTGAGAAGGTTTTTGAACAGCTGTTCCGACCGCGACGCGATCTCCACAGACTGCTGCACGTAGGCTTCCCTCTGCAGATCCCTGCCCATGTTCGACAGTGCCTGTCCGAGACCTGCGGCGATACCTGTTGACGTCGGCGGAGCGTTGCCCGCCATGGCGGCAGCGTCCCGCTCGCTCTTAAGAACAATTTCGTTGCTCTCGATCTCGTCGTAAATTTGAAGCAGATATTCGGGCGGCAAGTCGGCATCGTCGTTGATGCCACGGTTGTTCTTGATAAAGTCTTCTTTGCTCATCCGCCTGGCGATCTTGGTGCTGTGCAAATCGGTATTCAGGAGAATGACAGAGTAGGCCAAGACGTAGCCGTGTCTGCGTTGGCGAATGCATTGGGGTTGCCATGACGTATCGGTTCGCAAACTTGAGGATGAAACGATCAATC